TATATATATATATATATATATATATATATATATAATTTTGAGCTACATTTAGGTTTAGTTATAATTCGTTTTATATTAACGCAGTAGAAGTCTTTGGTATGTTGGCTTTATGTTGGTAGGCGTGGATGTGGATGTGTGAGAGATGTGTGCACACTTCTACATGCTTGTCAGCCGATTGTGCGTTTGCTTTTAAGCCTGAATGGATGAATGAACAATTTTATGATCTAATAAACCACGCTGTCTCATTTACAGTCATTAGCTGAAATAAAGTTGCATGAAATCTTCGGCACTTTGTTAAACAAACCAACCTTTTGTCACGTTCCGAACCCTTTCTCTTCCCGTCTTCCTCCACCCTCCCTCTCTCCCGTGTAAAGTGGCGGTGCATGCGTGTAACATCACTGTGGGTATCACACTTTCTCCTCACACCAGAAATGCATCTCGTTTCAGGAATGATGATAAATCACGGGAGAGCCCAAAAAAATAATAAAGAGGCCACTTATGCTGCGAGCTCCTCGCAGTTCTACTCTATTCATATTTATGGCCACCTTCGCCCGCCGTGGTGCTCTTCACTTCGCTCTCTTTTATTAATATCATCAGAACAATGTCAGCAGGCCATTTTAAAGGGCCATTGAGATGAAATGGCCAAAGATGGATGCCCCCGCTGCATATGCATGCCTCCGAACGCATCGAGCGTTTGCATCTGTTTAAGCACCGTCAGCCTGTCGCAAAACACATTTTCCATAACAGCCCATACCCAAACTGTGTTTTTATTGCCTACAGAGAAGTCACGGGGTCATTAAATATATTTACTTTGGTGCTGCTTTAGCGATAAAGCGAGCAGTTTGGGTGCTATAGCTTGCTTTTATACACAAAGCGTACAGGCAAGAATTTAGTGTTTGTGTGACTTAATGCAGCTGTGTGCCAAAGAATAACTCTGACAGGCTGATGCATGATTATTTCGGTTTGTATTATTGTAAAGATTTGTGCAAAGTGGGAGGTTTTGAGGGTATTTGTAGCGTGAAAACATGTTAATAACTCAGGCTAGTGTATGATTTCTTTAGCAGTTTAACTTTGTCATGAACGTTTATACGTTTTGATTGGTAGATGATAGATGAAATATGATTACTTTGGTGGGGTTTTTATCATTGTAAAGGTTTGCTCAAAATGTTAAGGTTATTTATAAATCATTAGTTGAAAAATGTTAAAGCCAATATAGCTAGTTACAATAGCAGGTTTGTATTAAAGTTTGCACAAAGTGCCAGATTTTAAAGGATATTTGATGTATATTTACTTTTAAAAATTATATTAATAAATATATTATTAATATATGATATTTGATATTAATCCATTTACAGCCTGTTATTAATTTATATTATTACTTTATAAAATTTGAAAGTTGTTTGACAATTGTTAGCATGAAAACATCTTATTAACATGGGTTTGTTTCAGTGTAAAGGTTTGCACAGTGGCAAATTTGAAGTTCATTTCTAAATTGTAAAAAGCAAAGAATGCACCTTGTGGAAGAGCAATAAAAAGCAGTGAGCGCAGTCAAGATGCAGACGGCCATGAAGTCACTAATTGACAACTTCACTTGCATGTCATCACCGATATTACAGTTAATCGAATCGCCGTTAACAGACGCCATCTGGTCTTTATTATGGTATCAGGCTGCTATTGCTGTCCTAGCTTGCCGTATGTCACCTCCTCTCGTCTTTACCCGCAAGGAACCGGTCCACAGAGACGTCAGCGCTAAGACACTCTGATGACAAGGCCTCATTTTGGAGCGTGATGTGTTCACCAACTGCTTTTGGTGTCTCTTGTCCTCCTCCTTTCTCTTTCTGTCCCTGTTAAGCTCATAACAGAGAACAGAGCTACAATATGTCTGTGCAACACCCACCATTCCTGTCCATCTCTTTAGCTGTCCACACACTCCCACCAGTACAGGTATATAGACTTTTCCTTCTTTTTGTTCTCTTTCACACTTTTTTTTTTCACTTGAAGGGGAGCCAGATGTGCAGTTTCATACATTTCATTTGTTGTTTAATTATACTTTTTTACAGATTTACTATTACTAACTATTACTGATGCAAAGGCCGTTTACAACCCTAAATTTACAGCCTCAGGTAGCATAAATCCTTAGCTTAGCTACATGAAGCTGTGTAGCATTTTCTTGTCTAAATAAAACATTATGTGGTCAGCATGTAACAGTGGCAAGTTTTAATATTTTTGTCATTAAACATCTCTTTATTTACAATACTGATCACTAATCAATGTGTTTGTCCTTTTTTGGTTCCTTTTTAATTGTGTTATTTTATGATATTTTATTTTATTTAAAAAATTGTATTCTATTGTGGTATTTTCATATTTGTATTATTATTATATTTTTATTTTTCATATTGTTTAAATATTTATATTTTATTTATATTTTCATATTTCCATATTTTTGATTATTATTTTATTATATTAAATATTTTATTGATTTTTTTGTTGTTCTTTTTTTTTTTCTTTCTTGTTTTTGTTTTGTCCTTATCTTGCTGCTCCAGAAGAAATGCGTATTCCTACTCTTATTACCTGTAAGTAGCATTAAATACAGAACATCTAACCAACAATCCTGTTTTTTTTATGCTTTCCTATTCATTTTTCTTCTAAGTACTTTGAACAATTCCTGAAAAGTATTTTAAAACCTCCTTAGTTCATTAGAAGAAAAAGTAAGAGAATGAATTAAATGAAATTAAAGTTATGTGACAATTAATCTTAGTACCAAAAGTCTCCTAACTTTGCCATGGTGAACAAAGCTTTCCAAAATGAAGAAAAATTCAATTTCATCGCAAAGTGTTAAATCGGTTTTATATTCATCACACTTTGCTCCAATATTTCAGCATCACAGTAGTTCCATTTTCTAGCAAACACAATCGATTTCGGCCATAAACCGTCTTATGCACTATAGACCTACAGTTTTTTTCAGATTGCATTGAAACATTAGCAGGCCCACAGTTATAAATTGCTCTCGTGTGCACGTAAATTGATGTGGCTCCACTGTTATCTTGTTATTATCGACTATTGCTTGTTCAGCTCAAATCCCTTTGGTCTGCGAACTCCACCTCTACTTTTTATTACTTTTCCGTTACACTTAAACTATTCACTATTACTTTGACGGTTATGCCTGCCTCAGCATTTTACTGTACGGGATTGTTTAATTTGCGCTGTGTGCAACAGAGCCTAGCTGCAGGATGTTTACCTCATGCGTTAAAGGATTTAAAAGCTCAGATTCACAGTCGGACTACTATGTGCATTCTCCCCGGTCCTGAAATATAGATGAAAGTAGGAACACAGCTCTTTCAAAAGGATATCATCTGAGAGGGCAAAGACAGAGAGCTACAGGCTAAAGCTAACCGTGACGCCAATATATTCCCCAAGCCCAGAGAGCGAGGCGTTCTCATATTCAGCGAGGTTATGTTATGGGCTTTTCAGCGTGCATGTTCAGATTTAGTAGCGCAATCAGTGCACATCTTCACTCTTGTCCTTGCCCAGTCTCAAACTGAGTTTACCATGAGGAAAGACATTTTGACTTTGATACCAATTTGTAATCTTGTATTCAAGGCCTACAAGTAACACTCACCAAGCACCAAATGTGACTGAAAAACAGCACTGACGAGTTACTCACCAGTTGGCCAGTACATTTTTTGTATTCATTCTAACAATGCCTGAGAATGCGCTATGGTTTAGTATGATTATCAAATTGCAATGATTGTGTTGTAATTATATAAATATGTAACCTGATGTGCTGTGTAGTGATTATTATCAAAACTTGTAATGTGAAGCATTTATAAATGTTGTCAACAAAGAAAGGCATTTTAAAAGACATTTCCCTGCATTTTAAACCAAAATAAAAGCTCTATGATTTAACTTTCGAAATATCTAGATATTTTGAATATCTAAATAAATAATTAAATAAATATACATAAATAAAAATCTATGAATAATAATGATAATAATAATTGCAGTTAGATGTGCTTCCCCAATTTGTTCTGGCTGTGACAGATTTTTGAGTATATAGTTAGACATGACATGTAGTACTTTAAATTCAATACCACGGTTCACTTTTTGGGCCAGATGTACTAACAGCTTGCACCAGCGCAAACCGACTTTTGCCGTTAAAATAGTACTGTCAGGATTTACTAAAGTTGCGCAGTGAAGAATTAGTGCTGAAAAGGCATGGACACAGTTATTTTTGGGCCTGACCTTACTGAATATGCATTTGTAGGAGTTTCCCTTTCAGTCGGAAAATTTATGGGAGGAGAGTATTCAAATGAATCACACAACGCGATTTACTAACATTTGCGCTCGACAAACTACTGGTCTACTACTGGCGTCATTAATGCCCAAAAAAGCATGCCTTAAAGCAGGCGGTAATTTTCGCTGCTCTTTTTTAGATTGCGCTGGTCATTATGGAAATGATCTGGTTGGGTCTGTGTTCTTTAATGTGCGCATTGTTAGTAAATAACCTGTAGAATTTTCCTCTCCCATCGGTGCTTTTATGGAATTGCGCTCTAACGCTAATTTGCCCCGTTTAGTAAATCTGGCCCTTTATTTTAAATGTACTATGATTTTAGGGTGATACAACAGTCATAGTGTATGGTGCTTTTGATGTTTATTCCAGATTCATTAGCATGTCTACTCCAAAAACTTTTTGTGCATGCATTTACACGTTTGTCAGATGCTTTTATCCAAAGTGACTTAAGGGCATTCAAAGACATCAATAAAAAAAAAGTTATTGCCTTTGCACATTTAAACCTGTTTGTACAACAGTTAAACCGTTTGCACTAGCCAAAAGCATTGCACCAGCACTAAAGTGTCTTCTTTTTATCATGTGTATAAACTTGCCCTGTTGTGGATGGATTTGAAGGAAACTAGCTAAAAAACAGAAGGAGACAGCCAGCAGCAGCACGCAGAGAGAGATGGGACCCGTAGGCACAGCGGATAAAAGCACAGGAAAAGTCAGCACCTTACACAAGGACGATCCGTTCTCCACCAGCAACCAGGACCTCAACGGATTCTGTGAGTTCAGCAAATATTGTGCTGCCCTGTTTTTCGTATAATCTCTGTTTATATCGAATGTACCTGTGATAACTCTCTGATAACTCTCTGATAGTAGTTAGTTAGAGAGGGAAGTTGGCATTAACCGATAAACCAATAAAGATATAAATTAATGAATGAACAAATTAAAAAATGAGTCAATGCATGAAATTACAAATGAGCAAATTAAAGAGTTATAGGATTCACACATGAACAAATTAAAGAATGCATGAATGCACAAATGAACTAATGAATGAACTCAATAAGTGAACAAACAAATAAATTAATACAGTACATGAACAAATTAATGAATTAATGAATGAACAAATGTTCAAATGAATCAGTAAATGAACAAATTATTTAATGAATAACCAAATGCATGAACAAATGAATGAAATATTGAACATGTAAACAAATGATTGAATAAAAAAAATGAATGAAGAAATGAATGAATGGAGAGATTAATGAACGAATGAATGATTTAACAGAAACGTAAGTGTTATTTTCAACATACTTATTTAAATTTAGTGATGCGCTGAAATTTTTCGTGAAACTTGGCCAACTATTCAGCCAGAATAATAAAAAAAACTTTTGGGTTTGGTCATTGATGAAACAGCAATGTTTAGTGCATTTGGTGTTAATAGTGTTTATTTAGTGTTTATTACGTGCACACAATGATAGTGATGAAACAAGATCTCTTAGTCTGTGCTGTTTTCTACTGATACATGAAAACTAAGCATTGTTTAGCAATCATCCCATCCAATATTTGCCATAAGCTTTGTTACTTTTGATTTGAAAGTCTCAGCATTGAAATTCTGTGAAGCAATCATCTGTTCCTCTTTACTACTAATTATAGCACTAAATAAACATCAGTTAACATCAGTAGATATGTTGAAAGATACAGCAATAGTTTCATGTTCAGTCAGACATTTTTCACAGGTTTTCTTTAGAGAACTTCTTGCTCTTTTCCACCAGTCTCAAAAGTCAAAAGTCCACAGGTCATATAATCACCACGTTCCTCAAATACCACGATCTCCTGAGGTGGCCGCAGTGTGTGTGAGCCAATCTCTGGATTCATTACTGCAATCACACAAACCTCCTGCAGATCCCACCATCACACTGATGAGCTCAGCAAGCCCTAAAAGGGGTCAAAAGCGGTCAACAATATGTAATTTTAACTCAACTCACCATTCTCCTTGATTGTCTTTACTAAGCGTCCATCAGGAAACCAAATGACGGGACGCCACCACCTCACACCTGCCATTCACAGATCTGAACGTCGCCCACTGCAGAGAGCTATTTTGTAGCTACACAGCACGGACCGAAGCGTTCTACATATCAAGAGACCTCGCTATTGATGTGCTGCTTTAAGAGGCGCTAGAGAAGAAGAGAAAGTGGCATTTGGACTAGGCGTTTTTTTTCTTCTTCTTCTTGCTTTCATTCTCATTCTTAGTTTTAAGTGGGCTCTGGCATGCTGTGAAGGGCCTGTAATTAGGATGGGTCTTTCTGAGTCGCTTTCTGCACAAAATGTCACAGTGGCCTTTGTGTACAGAATAATTTGAATGGAGCTGGAAGAAGAGGAGGCAACGGAGAGTAAGAACAAGATGCATAGAGAGAGAGAGAGAATGTCATTATGCATAATGATCACATTTATTTCCTTTAAAATCAACACTGATTGGCAATGTGTTCTGCATGTTTAGTGTTTCTTAGTTCTTTTGAATGTCATTGGTCAGTGAATGTACAAATGCAGTTTATTTGTACGTTTATTTCGGATCATTACAAGCACAGAGTAATTGGAGGCTGTTATTGTATCTGCTGTTTATCTAATGGTCGGAGAGTCACTATTACTGAACCAGTACAGGCCCTTTATTATAGGCATGAATCTCAGCTGGGGTGTTGGAACAGAAACAATCTAGAACTCAGCCCAGCTCATAATTGCTGTTTGCGAGCAGTTCTTTAAAAAAAATTGTGTCAAATGCCTAGTGATACATTATCAGAGACCATACACGTTCAACTAAAACTTTAAAGCTGCAGCGGGTAATTTCTAAGTTGCATTTGCAAAAGTAATGATTTTTCATTATTCAGCAATTTTATAGCTGCAAAAATAATTTCTTAATCACTATTTTGTCTTGATATATGATATAACAACCTTCTTAAAAGAATATAACATTCTTAAAATAAGATCTTAAAATAAGAAAATGATTGTACTATTTATTTGTCTAATATTGTATTATTTGATATGTTATATAAGCATTTAAAAAAGCATGAAAAGCAGAGCATGTGCTGGCTTTACAGGCAGAATCTACTGCTTTTTATTTTCCACATTTTTGTGCTGGTTCTAGGAGGAAAATCTTTGGAGAATAGTATGTGTTGAACTTTGTGAATGACAGGCCTTCCAATTTGTAAAGCCTTTTCTGTGGGCACCAAATTCATGCGGGCCTTTATATCTCATATTATAATTGTCGTTTTTCTGATTTTATATCCAGACCTTCCTCTCACTGGCACCACAGTTACAATCACACATAATTTTTATTCTTTTTTTATATCTTTTTTTTTTTGAAGACGATTCGGCCTAAGATGTGTGAGATAGAGATCATAGCGATCCCAGCCTACACACTCAGCATTTTAGCCGTATTACCATTTAAATGAACACAGAGACACCTGCCTCTAACCTTCCACGCTTCTCTCATTCAGACGCTCTCGATCTCACCCCCACTGGCCCGTGAGCTTTTGCTGCCAAAGCACTTTCTGCAGAGATCCTTATGTGAGCAAATGCGTATGCACCGACACATGTGAGACGCAGAGATTTGTGTAAAGGGAGATCTGGAGTGATAGGTGATTAAAATGGAAAGTAAAAAGATATGGCTTCAGCTGAGAAGAGTAAAAGAAGGTTACTGGAGTGTGTGATGCTCTAGGAGTGTGTTTCTGTGACTTTCATTTACTTTGTAGTGGAAGTCTACTCTGTAAAAAATATACGAAGGTGTGAATAAAACAAAGATTATTGGAATATGTTTGAATATGTACGTTTTTCTACTTCAAAATCAATGTGTTACTTGCTGTTTCTTTGTAATTATTTGTAAATTTGACTAAAAAAAATGTTTCTACATTTTTTTTTCACTCTGTTTTTTATTACAGACGTTGTCTAGAAAACCACTGTAAATACTGAGCTAGGATATGCATGTGGATATATTCAAAATAGTCCATGACATTTAAAGGTCTTGTTGACTACAGCAAGATGCAGTTGATTAGTGTGATATCTGTCTCCTTTGCAGAAAGGGACCTAAAAATCTTGTATTCTGTTGCCGCTGTGATTCTGTCACAATGTGGCACTGCTATTAATCTGGACATAATGTGGAGTTTTATAGATATGTGCAGTGTGTGTGTGTGTGTACTGTAATGTCACTAAGGTCTCTCCTCTCTGTTTTTCCCAGCCTCCTCTTCTCCATGCTCCTTCTCCATCCAGGGTAAAGCCATCCAGAGTAAAACCCTCCTCAACTCCTACTACTCAGGTTTGTAGCTTTCTATGTTGAATAGGTCCATGTGGTAGAGTAATAAAATTCCTGGACTGGTAACCAAAAGATTTGAACTGTATAATGTATCAGCAGGCCAATCACGGAAGGCTCTGCGGAATTTAAACCTCAAAAAGTTACATACATTTCCTACCACGTGCATGTTCATTTATGAAATATTTAGGCTAATTTGATGATGCTTTCAGTTGCCAGTAAGAATGCAATACTCTCAGTTCTTAAAAAATAAATAAACAAAAATAGCATCACTCTCAGCTATTGATACTCTCAGCTTTTAATACATTTTTAAAGCAAAGCACTTTAAACCCAGGTTTCTACAGGATCACTGTATATTATATTGGATGTTGCTTTAGACAAAGGCATCTGCTAAATGACTGCTGAAAAGAATAGTTCACAAAAAAAAAATGCTATCAATTATGCTATCAAGCTTCAAATAGGAAACAAGAAAAAACAAAAATAGACTAAGCAAAACTAAGCCTGTGAATGAATCATTCAGACTGGTTTTGTGAAATTGATCAACTGATTCACTGAAAACATCTGATTAAAAAGAATGATTCATTCATGAATTGGACATCTCATTAATTCATGAAGACTTGGCATGTAGCGCAGTCATACATTTTTATATTATTTTGCGTCCTTTTTCAAGCTTTGATAGAGGCATGTTTATCATTTTTTGTTGCATGGAAGAAAAATGGTTAACTTTAGAATTACACAAGGGTGAGTAAATGACAGTTTTTTGACAACAGTGTTATTTTAGCATAAAATATATTATTGTTGTATTTATGAAGATTTTTTTTCAATAATTTTGTTAAGTCCTTTTTTCATTTTATGAGTTTTTTATATTTCTATTTTTATTTCAGCTTTAGTAATATTAATACTTAAGCTTATTTCTGTGAATGAAGATATATTATTTAATTTATTTTACATTTCATTTCAGCTTTATTTCAATGAATGAAAACAGGTTTTACTAGTTTTAGTTATCAATAACAACAGCATTTTTTCTTCAGAATCTCAGAATAATATAACAGTAGCTGTGTTGCATTTATACCAAAGCCAAAAATAAAATAAATACATACATACATAAAAGGGTTTCAGTTTTATTCTGTTTTTATTTTCAGTTTCTAAGGAGCCAGTCCCTGCCACAGCATCCATAGGTAAGACACTTTTCCTTCTCTGCTGATTATACGTTGACTACGTTAAACCGTTTCTTCTGTTTCTTTTGATGTGAAGGTAGGAGGAAGCTGATCTTAGACAAAATGAATATTCAGAGGCAAATCGCTATTAAGCATGTAGTTTCATTCCAAACCTGCATGTGTATCTGCGAAACATCTCTGAGTCATAAAGTATGGGTTTAGATGATGAAAGATCATAGCATTGACCTTTGAAGTCAAAAGTAGGCGCTCGAGACTTTGGCTCCCATCCGATCAAACTAATTGCAGCTTGTAATTTTATGGT